AAATTGCGAATATTTGGGTAGTAAGATAAAAAAAATATAAGTTAAATGGCTACGCTTGATATGCAGCAAGATATTTTAAATCAAGTAACTGGAAGCGAACAACAACAACAACAACAAGAGGAAATTCAACTGACAGAATTATTACCGGTGAAACAATCACGAATCAGAGAGAATGAAATTTTTAAAGATACAGATACGAATGTTGATACGACCGATGCTTTAAAGATACTTCGAAGTTTTACCATCGTCGATAATTGTTGCAACGATGATGAACATAAGCTTTGCTCGGCCAATTTATCTTTTTGTAGAAAAATCGATCAATATGAGCGAGAAAAATTACAAGACAATTGCAAACAATTGCTTGAAAGTAATCTGCAAAAGAAGATTTGCGAATATGATAAAAAAAATGTAATTGATAAGACCGAAATTGGAAAAGAAAAAGAAAAATGTAACGTCCAAAGGTTTGAGAATGAATCAAGTATAGGAAAAAGAAAATGCAAGCAAATCGATAAAAAATCGATAATTGGAGATGTAATAAAATCCACAAAGAAAAGAGCAATTATCGATGCAATAAAAAGTAATAAAAAACAAAAAAGTGAAGAAAATGGCAACGCAAGGTCAAGGAATCGGTTAAAATTACGAGAAAATTCATATCTCGAAAATGGAAAAGGGATTAACGAACAAATAGAATCAACGACTTATTTAGATCTTGACAAGAATAATCATTTAAATGATGAGATTTACGTTTTTCGTCGTGAATTGATAGACGAAGAACAGGAATTCAACACAAACTCGAAAAACATAGAGGGAACGTACAAAAATGCGAATTATACAAATACTACCGATGGAATATTATTCGATCGAGTAGCAATTTCTAGCGAAATAGCAGATAAAAATAATATCGATGAAGCTGCCAAACAACTTATCGCCGTTACTATTGAAGAAAATTGCATATTTAATGAAAAAGTAACGAATTCGAAAATATTGCTCGAGAATTCATCGAAAGAAACAAAGTTAAACTTATATACAACAACGATGAATTATCTTGTAGACAGTGAAAACAATAATACGATGGAATCAAGTCGATTCAAAGTCGGAGAAGCTCATACGAATCCATCGTATGGATCAGATATCTCTAAGAACATAGTCGTTATCGAATCGTCATCATCGTCGTCGTCGTCGTTGTCGTCGTCGTCATTGTCATCTTCATCATCATTATCATCGTCATTGTTGTCGTCGTCACTCTCATATTCAAAAAAAAAGAATATGAATGATAACGAGGATGGACGAGACGAGGACGAAAAGATTGATATCAAAACTAAAGAAGAGAATCAGCAAAAAAAATATTGTTGCGTAGTTTGCGAGGCGCGATTTAAAGGTAGCGGAGGTCTTCGTAATCATTATAAAATCGTACATGGAGCGGGACCTATCTTTAAATGTGACGAATGTGGCAAAGAATTCCCTTTGAAAGAAAGATTGAAACTACACGTTAGAACACATACCGGATTCAAGCCATATAAATGTCCAGAATGCGACAAAAGTTTTGCCAGAGGAGGACAATTGGTACAGCATCGGCGTACTCACAGTCAAGTGAAACCGTACCGTTGCGGTTTATGTTCTGGCACGTTTACCTGTGCCGCGAATTTGGCATTGCACGTAAAACGACACAATGGTCAAAAAGATCATAAATGTGAGATTTGTGGTCGCGCGTTCGTTCGCCGAGACGCGCTCAAAAAACATCTCGAATGCCTTCATAGAGATGTAAAATCTTTTCTCTGCGTGATATGTAACAAAACTTTCAAGGGCCACCTACCTCAACACATGAGAACGCATGCGCGCGATCGGCCACATGGTTGCGCTACGTGTGGTCAAAGATTCGCTCAAAAATCTCAATTGACCGTCCATCAAAGAACACACTCAGGACAAAGACCATTCAGATGTTTGGTTTGTTGGCAGGCGTTTGCACATTCAACGGCTCTTAAACTTCATACAAGAAGACATACCGGTGAAAGGCCGTTTAAATGTGCCGAATGTAACGCCGGTTTCACACAACTACCCCACTGGAAAAAACATATGAAATGCATTCACGGTCGAAATGAACCATACGCTTGCAAAAAGTGTAAGAGTTTCTTTAGAATCAAAAACGATTTGGAATGTCACGAGAAAACCTGTCATCCTGAATCTAAAAGTGAACACGACGTTTCGAATAATCGAATGGACTCCATAACGGCAACGATAATACCGACAACATCAGTTTCGATGACCTTACAATCGACAACATCGTCCCTACTTTCCAATGAAATAATCACCGACAAATCTTCCTCCCCTCCCTCCAAATATAAAATAATGTCTGTCGAGAGGATGAGATTGTTGCTCGCTGTACTTCTTAAGAGGATTAGCAAACAAGAAAGATTGGACGAATTAGGGTTTGGAAAACGATTAATCGACGAGGTTCTTTATGATTCTTTGTTATCCGCTGGCAAAGATCCGGTTGTGAGTAACGGTCTTTCGGAACTCGAAACTCTCACCAAGAATCTCGAGATATTTCTCAAGTGGACCGTACCCAAAGAACATTGGGAACATTTTCGCAAGTTGAATAAAACACCCGAAGATATCCTGGAAACACTTACCGCTACTTAAATAAAACTTCTAGTTATTTCAATCATTTAATCATATATGGCTAACGCTACTAAATATTTACCAAAGATTAGAAGATACAGATATACTTTAAACTTCTTGAAAATTATTTCATCCTAAATCGAGGCTTTTTAAATCAAAGACTGCTCCCTCTTTTTACATGGATAATTTTTCTATAACTTTATACGTTTGATGCACCATTCGCGACTACGTGAATAAAAACAATTAGAGATGAACGAGTAAAAAAAGATTTGAACATACGTGCGGAACAAGAATATTCGTTAGCACGTGTGCATCGTCAATCAACATATTATTTAGTAATAATAATCATTCGTATTATGTATTATATTATCTACCAAAAGTGTTAATTTATTAAAATTATTTCGATACATATAAATAATTTCGTTTAATATAAAATAAGTATTTGCTAGTCCAAAGTGCAAACGCAATATTCGTAATAACAATCGAATAACTCGTTGATCATTTTGTGCGTGCACCGTTTTACAATTCATTTTGTACTGGGAAAAAATAAAATATGCGATTGACTGATATACATTTTAACGATATTAAAACTTATTATTAGTTATGTTACATATATATTGTAAAAGTAATAACGAGTTACACGTAAAATGGTAGATAGATTGAACGAATATTTTGTTCCCATCATTTCTATGTGATAAGTTAATTATGCATCGAGTGCCATATTGTTTGTACAAAAAGTTCGTACAAACAATTTAAAAAATAATAAAAACACATTTAGAGTTTTAAACTTCTACGCAAAGTATAAAGCGACAATATACACTGCGAAATTTTCATTATGAGAGAACGAAAAAGAACGAATGAGCGAGCGAGCGAGAGAGAAAGAGAGATATTTACGTGATTTTTATATTATAATATTTTAAGTATAGATATATATATAATATTTTACGAGTTCGTTCGCTTCATTATATAGATATTTAAGTATATCTTTTATAGATATTTTTAATAACCAACTGGCTACATTCAGGGTGCCATGCGTCATTTATTTCTTGCCCTGTTATTTTATTAATAATTATCTTACTTGTTGTTATTTAAACAAATTTGTTGCTCGCTTTTCGTAATTTCTAAACGAATGTATGATAATGTAATGAATGTTACGATGATAAAGTTAAATATTATCTATGATAAACAACTAATCAAAATTAGATTCGTGTGGCAATAGATTAAAAATGCAGTTTTTGCATTTATATTCGTCATAACGAAAAACATATTTTTTTAAAAGAAAACTGAATGAAAACAAAAAAAAAAAAAAAAAAAAAAAAAAAAAAAAAAAGAAAAAAGAGGGAAGGAAAAAAGGAAGGGAAAAAAGGTGAAAGAGAAAAAAAATATGTTTGAATATATATGAGTATTTCAATACAAGTTTTTAGATGATTTCTTACTTAATTTAAAGAGGCTAAATATCAACTAGGCTATTGTACACGTTGTTTGTTGCAATATATTCTTTTAATTAGACATAAGCATTCTATATTTATACGTACATTGTTGTGTGTAAATTGTTGGACAAGTATAACACACAAGTTGAATGCATAATTTTATTGATTTTTGTTTATTTGTGATATTTTTTTCTTGCCATTTTTTTCATTTTCGTTCTCATTTATTTATTTGCTTTCGAATTATTTTTGAACTTAAATTATACGTTAAATAAATTGATCTCTTTGGATAAAAAAAAGTTTCGAAAAGTTCTAAAAATTTCGGAGATTCTCGTAAAATTCTTCGTATAAAAATCATGTAAAAAAATAAAAATTTTCATTTACATATGAAAAATACGCGTGGTGCTACATGAAATTTTGTTGTGTTCGTGGCTCTGTTAATAAACAGGATCTTTAATATTTAAAAATTTTATTGTCGTCATTTTTTTTCACATTGTATGATTCTCGTTAGTATATATTTTTTCGTTTTAATGCATAGATTGTGCAAATTAACACGACGAAATATTTAATAAATATGCCTGTACGCTTAGCAAATACGACACTTTTTAGGTAGACATAAATAAATGTGAACAGACAATAATAAATCAAAGTTTCAAATTAATAATTTAGAAAAACAAAAAAAAAAAATATATATATATATATAAACAATTATAAAATATATTATATTCCGTATATTCTGTAATGCATTAATATATATTTAATAGTGTGTTGTGTAATTTTCAATTCGTTAAAATATGTTTTTAATTATAATAGAACATTTAATGATTCCGATAAAATCTTATTTCGTATATAATACAAATATTTCAAACATTTTGTAATATTATAATATTGTTCCAAAATAGGTATATCGCTCAAAATCGATTTGTTACTTATAAATCAGATATTATTCTTTATCTCGAATAAAAGAGCGGAGAAAAATTTAAGATATTGACAAATCATAAAGACCGATCAGCAATAATATTATTCTTTAGAAAAGAATAGAATGATATGTCATCTCACTCTGGCGCTAAACGATTCATACACTAACATACAGAACATACAAAAATTTATAGGAATCCGTATTTTTACGGATTTCTCATTCGTTTTCGGATTTTCTACTATGAACAAAGAAATGAGACAATATGCTTCTTTCGGAACAATATTGTACATATACACACATACATATACACACGTATCATTCTAATATCATAATTACTTGTTTCATAAGAAAAAGTTGTTTTCGTTAAAGTCAAATTTATTTTAAACGATGAAACGAGCTGATAAAAAAAAGTAAAAAAATGTAATAATTCTCTGATGAATGATGATCGAAATATTCCTTGGGAAGAAAAAAAATTTCAAGAAATCATCCGTTATAGCTTTTATAAGAATTCAAGCAACTCTATGTTAAGTATGGTTGGTGTGAGATATAATGACAGGGACGATTATGTCAGTGTCTCTTTGAAATTTATTCAAAGATCAAAATCTACTTTTTTGTCTGCTGTAGAAATGCAAATAAAGGTCGTAGAGACCTCTGAATATAGATCGAGGTCAAAAGAATGCCCGCATGTTTATAGATACGTATGTAGAATTCAAGTAAAGATTTCTGTGTTTCAACAATGGTGCTGTTTTGTTAAATGCTTGAATTTCTTTATTCAATACGTTCCACGAAATGCCAAAGTGATTATTTTGATTTGCCAATGTTACGTGATAACAGCGATTATCTGTATTGTTATTATTTTTACTGTTATTAGTTCCGATTATGATTAAATTGAAATTAAAATTATATATTTTTTTTTTTTATGTTAATGTGTTCAGATATAGATTATTTTAAAAGATTTCATTTTATAATTATTCTTTTTCGTTATAGTGCCATAAACTATATATTGTTTGTAAAGTGTATCCTATTTTATTGTATAATAATACAATTATTCGAATAAAATTAAAAAAATTTTCTTTTTTCTTTATTCAAGAAAATATTTATTTTAACAAGAGTAAAAAATATATTTACATATTAGATTAATACCATAAAAAGTAATATCGTATATATATATACATATATATATATATAAATATAAAAACAACAATCTTATATGTATGAACAAACGAATATATATTTTACACAATATTATTATTATTTATTGTTGTTATCATCTAATTCAAAATCATCATATTTCCAAGAAAGCGAAAAATTTTGTCTCAAATCCACTCGTAAATTATTTATATTTAAGCACTGAAAAATTAATATTTTTAGGTTTAGATAAAAAAAAAAAAAGAAATTAAAAATAAAAAATAAGTATTAAAATAAATATTATTCGATACTCTTATTTAATTTGAATACGACCTTTCTTCCTTTTTTTTTATCATTTTAAATATTAAAACTTACATTTTCCTTCTTGATATATTCGAATCGTATTTCGCGATCGTTTAAAAAAACTTTGGAAATATTAGATGTTATTCCCCATATTTGTATTTTATCTAAAATAATTTTCTCATTGAAATAACTTTTCGTTGCTTTGAAATTGGATAAAGTATTATTCTCAATATTGAAAAATGTCCATACAAATTGTCTCTTCTCGAACGAATCTACGAATTTTTGTATACATTGAAAGAAAATTATTAGAATTATTACAACTAATTATTACATTGTTATAATGCATACCTAAACTATCACCATCATCCCAATATAATTCTCCTTTTGCTTTTTTTACATTATCCAACGTAATCAATAATTCAAAATTATTTCTTCTGCTAGCCGTTGTAGTATCGGCTGCTTTTTGTGCTGGCAAAATAGATCCTCCGCGAATCATCAATGGTATGACATCGAGTGGTGCATTCAATGTATAATATTTGCCCAGTGCGAAAAGAGAATCTTTTGTATAAAAATTATACCATAATCCACGTGGTAAATAAGCAATTACTTCTGTCTTGTTCTATAACAGAGAATATATGATGTCTTGATCATCAATAATGTAACAGCCAAATCATTTTTTTTTTTTGTATAATATATGAATAAATCAAATCATTTAACAAAATTTTACATAAATATTAGCTTACTTCTTCTAAAACTGGGATTATCATCAAAGAATTGCCCCACAGATATTGAGCATCGATATCATATGTAATCGAATCGTTAGGAAATCTGAACAAAAAATGTTAATATTACAAACATTTTCATTTAGCAATCATTTAGTATCATATATGATTTATATTTACTCGAAAAATAATGGTCTCGCTACAGTTTCTCCAAATTTATGTGCCCGAAAAAATAACGTATACAAATACGGTAACAACCAATAACGTATCGTAAGAGCACGTTTGGATGATTTTATTACCAAATCGCCCATAGCAACTGGATCTTGTTCCTGATATGGGCAAAATATATTAGACTACACTAGAAATATTGTAACGAAAAAATAATTCAATTATATTTATTCATTATACAATTATGAATATTCATAAATACGAACAATCGTATCATCTGAATTATGATTACGAGAAAAAGGATAAAATGCACCAAGTTGCATCCAACGATTGCATAAACTTGTTGTAGTATTTCCATTGAATCCACAAATATCAGCACCAACCATTGGTATTTGATAAAAGTTCATTAACAAAATTGCTGGAATGCTCATTCTTAAATCATGCCTAATGATTAATTTATTACGTGAAGTACGAATAATATTTATCAAATATGTATTTATAAATAAAATGCTTCAATATGAATTACCACGAGGAATAAACGTCTCCTGTCCAATGACCAGCATAGTAACCATGTCCCACCCAGGTTGAACGTGATATTATAAATGGTCTTTTTCGTCTAATATTGATTAATGCACTATGTACATAATCTTTTGTAATTACATTCTTCTTTTTAATTTTCAAATTTCTTTTATGTTTACGAATCTACTTACTAATTAGTTGCTATCGCTTGACTTGTACCATAAATATTGTGAAGATCGTAATGAGAGCCCAAATAATGTTTAGCATTCATGCACAATGTTTTCGTTGATAGAATATTGCCAATAACACGCGGTATATATTTAGGATAATCCAATTTATTTTGTGAACATCCATATTTATGTCCATTATAAAAATTAGAAGGCTCGTTCATGTCCTAGCAATAATAGAAAATAATACATAAAAATATTAAAAAAAACATTATTTTCTTTTACTATCAAAAGATAAAAAACATACTATCCAAGCACCATCATATGCAAAATTATTGTGCATATCGTTCATCATATGAAAATAATAATTTTGCGCTTTGGGATTTGTAAAATCAGGCCACACAGTAGAGACTAGATTCCAAACTTTGCCAACAAATGGTTGATCAGCTTTTTCATCTTTTATAAATATATCTTCTTTCAAACCTTCATCGTACGGCAAATAAGTTCCGTTCTTTTCAGAACCAGATATTCCTGCATCGATCAACGGAATATAATGCATTCCTCTCTACAAAATGTAAAACGTATATTATACATTATATATACATATTTTTTAGCAATCTATACAATTGTAAATCATACTGAATGTATTTCATTAACAAATTGTGGTAAATCCTTAAACCTGTCTGAATTATACGTAAAATCGTTATTCTTATCCATGTAATCTAAATCGTTCCATTGAGTATCCTAAAAGTGATAAAAATCGATCAAAATGATTAAACTTACCTTATTTGCCTTATATACACTTATTATTATTATTAAATCTAAATTGATAAATATATTAAAGACATTACAAATGGAATTCCTGCTGCTATAGTTCTATTCCATACTTCTTTTGTCTTTTCTAAACTTCCATATCCGTATCTATCATATAATTATACAAATATTATGTATAAATATTTTATCACATATATACAAATAAGAAATATAAATTCATATTTTTTGCAATAAGATAAAATTTATACCTGCATAAATGAAAACCAAGGGACCAATAAGGGGGCAAAAATGGTTTACCTACTATCTCAGAATATTGTTTTATAACATCTGTTGGAGTTGGACCCAAAAAAAAATATATATCAAAAATACCGCCAATAGTTCGAAAGGTAATAGCAGGTGATGGTTGTAATATCACATCTAAAAATATCGAACACTATAATATACTAGATTCGATACGTATTGAAAAAAAAAAAAATTTCAATTTTGAACATCATTACCCATAGCATTACTATTAAGAAATAGAACTCCATGAGAATTTCCCGAATTTTCAATTATTAAATAAAAGGGATGCGATCCGTATAAATTTGCCTAAATTTAAACAGTTTATCTTTACAATTTTATATATACATACATTAAAAAAAGATAAATAGAAATAATATATAATTTGAAACAATTTTTTCAATCTACATTCAACCTACATTTTCGATCGGTGGTTGATCTTTATTAAATAATGTAAAAGATTGCCAATTAGTATTTAAT